AGATCGCCTACTTGGCAATCAAAAGATTAATTTTGTTCAACCATTTTCTCCAAGTGACAAACACAAGAATCTCAGCAGAGATGCGGAAAAAATAAAGAAAATAAAAAGGTCTAATGAGTAGCACCCCAATGAGGAAATACAAATCACTGATGACATTAATTAGAATGATTTCCTCCAAGACACATAAAGCTGAGCTGGGGATCCCTCACAAGGTTGAAGCACATGTTCTGCGTGTGGAAGGCCCAGACACAAGCCCACTCTAACACAGTTCCCTAAGTACCATCTGGAGCAACGTACCAATAGAGTCAGGATATGCCCAAAAATCTAGAAAACTTAAATGAGAAAAAAAATACAACTTAATTATTAAATCAACCAACAAAAACAAAAGAAATTTAGGGTGGAGAACAGATGTGTGAAAGGGCCCTCTTATGTTGTCAGTGAAAGTATAGAGGGACACAAATTTTCTGGAGGGTACTTTGCACAAATTTTTCAGGATACTGAAATGTTAGCTATTTTTGTTTGGGGGTGGGTGGGCCATACCCGAAGGTGCTCTAGACATACTCCAGGGTCCACGCTCTGGGATCAGTCCTGATGCACTCAAGGGGATCACCTGGGATGCCAGGGATGGAACCCAGTCAGACACATGCAAGGCAGATGCCCAGCCCGCTGTACTATAGCTCTGCCCCCCTAAAATTTTAGTCTTACTGTTGAACCAGAAATCTTACTTTCTAGTGGGTACATAAGACATGTATTAATATTAACGATTATTAGTGCAATCGTATTACTGTCACTGTCACTGTCTTCCCGTTGTTCATCAATTTGCTCGAATGGGCCTAGTAAAGTCTCTATTGTGACACTTGTTACTGTATTTGGCATGTCACGGGTAGCTTGCCAGGCTTTGATGTGCGAGCGAAATACTCTTGATGCTCTCGGTAGCTTGCTGGGCAATCATATTACTAACAGAAAACTAGGAAAGGTCAGAAGGTTGATGGAATAAATTACGGTAAACTGACTGTGATGTAGTGCATGGCAATCATTATAATAATTATATAAAAATTATGAAATGAAAGAAAAGCACTCATTATAAATTTTGACTGAAAATGACAAAATACTCAAAAATATAGGGAAAGGCTGAAGGATATTAGAACATTAAGTCAGTGGCCATATAGGAAGAAAATCAAATCACTGTTACATTCCACATCCCACTGTAAAAAATTTTTCAGTTGAATAAGAAAAATATAATTACATATATGTGATATGTATAAAAAGGATGATTATATGTGTAAATATACATAATTAGATATATGACCAAATATTTTTAAAAGTCACTATTAGAATAAGAATACAGGTAATTAAAATTATAGCTGCTTCAGTGAATCTGCATTTTCTAACTTTTTCTACAGCATACAACATTACTTTGATAGTAAAAAGATAAAAACATTTTCAAAAACAGATGTGCTTTTATGCAATAGGAAAAGCAAAAATGTATGTAATATTATTTCTAATTAATTACTTAAAAATTTAAAAAATTAAAAATCTTTTTGTAACTTTTCAGGGGACTATACTCGGTGGTGCTCAGGGATCACTCCATGCAGACCTCGGGGGACCATACGTATTGCCAAGGTAGCTCTAAATGCAAGACAAAACACCTTCCCCTGTACTATCTCTCCAATCCATCCAATGACCTATTTTTCACTTCAAGGAGGTAAATGTAGGTATCATTTGTGTTTAGTCTGTATCCTGTACTTTGACAGGAAAAAGATTCTGTTAATACTTCACATTCAAACTGAAGATGAAACTTGAAGTTGCTAATGAAGGTGCTGTGTGTATTTATGAATATGAATGAGTAAATACTGCTTGAATGATTTAATGGAAAAATATGTGCTTTAGGAAAACAGAGATTTTTTTTCAAATGATATGTATGTGAAAAACCCAATTCATGGGACCAATAAGTAATACAAGGAAACCTGGAGTAACAGGGCTGGCTTCGTGTCACTCAAGGGACACCCTGGAACCTCCACTTTGAAAGGCCAGGAATGGGGAAATTTTGCTGAGAAAAAGTGGCCTATAAACACTAACCTAAGGGGTGATGTAAGGGCCAGTTGGTGAGGCTAGGAGAGGTTCATGAGAGTGACCATCTTAGTAACTCTTCATAGGCCAGAACAGCTTGTTCAATTTAATTCATCAGAGTCATTCATATTCTAAGTTGAGCTTCTGCTAAAACATCTTCTCAGGGGCTATAGAAATAACGCAGTGATACAGGAGTGATCCCTGAGCACAGAGTCAGGAGTAAGCACTGAGCACCACAGGGTGTGGAATCAAAACCAACTCTCTCTCTCTCTCTCTCTCTCTCTCTCTCTCTCTCTCTCTCTCTCTCTCTCTCACACACACACACACACACACACACACCTTTTTTCATAAGAGATAGCATAGGTGTTAAGGCATCAGCCTTGTGTGTGGCCAGGTTTGCTGTGGCCCCCTCCCCCCGCACTGCATCTATTCCCTGAGCACAGCCAAGGAAAGAATGTCTGGGTGTGGTTCAACCCGGCTTTGCTGCCTCCCAAAGGTTTTCTAGATGCTAATTTTGCATGAGATGAGTTCACTTACAGACAGAACTGGGGGGATTTTGTCATTACATGGAAGACCCCTAGAAGATTGTGATTTGATGTCATCTGATTTTATTGAAGTTTGCTAAGGGAAATAATGACACAAATAATGAATATACATCTCTCCTCGAAGTATTAGCAAACAATTCGCTTATTGTGGTGCTCGAAGATACTTATGGAAGGACATCTCTGATCAATGCCTCTAAAATTTTGGTACCAGAAACAAAGTTTGCCCATTTTTATAAATAAGTATGCCTTCCTTTTATAATGCTATATTATTCCCATACAACTCATCATGTTTCCATTTTGGCTTTGGCTGCCAAAGAGCTCAGAGCTATTTCATTGCCAAACCACAGCAAAGAACAGCTGCCTAATTTTGTAGAAAAATTCCATCCCAGAGCTCTTGAGTGTTTACCCTCAGCTAAATGGTCCCATGCTATGCATGACTTGTATTATGAGTTGTCTCAAATCCAACTTGGAAGTAGGCAAGGATTAAACAATACACAAACAAACACATAAGTAATTTGGACTGTGGAGGCCTGGTCTTAGGCTTGGTTCGTAGAAAATGTTTGGTAGGCGCATTGCCCAAACGTGGAGTATTGCTCTGGAGTGAGAGAAGAGAGGGGAACTGTGTGACTGAGGCTCTCTCTGTGCTCCCTCTTCCACTGTGCCGCTATCTTGGGAGAGGACTAGAATGGCATCCAATAAAGATACCCCATTGAAAAGGGCAGTAAAAGATCAAGGTGTAGATAAACTAGCCATTCATACACGGACTGTAACCTTTAAAGTAGTTAATAAAACAAGATCTGGCTGAAATGTACCATGAAATAGAAAGACAAAATTTTCACACCAAGAACTGAAGAATTCTTGGGCATTGGTGTGTGTGTGTGTGTGTGTGTGTGTGTGTGTTTATAATATCTAATAGTTGGGCTACAAAATATCAGGCGAGTTTAGAACCTTCTCTATCTTTGGGAAGGTCAAATATTTATTCTTATCGCTAACATTACTTAGGTGCTTTTACCTTATGTGAAGTGCTAAATGAGGCATAGATGTGGAGGAGAGGAAAACCACATTATTTTCATTGATGGATGTGAATTATTCACCTCCACGAGCTTAACCGAGGAACCCTAGTATTTGTTCCTTCCCAAATACAAAATGACCCCTCCTGAGATGGTTTTGAAGACATGTGCTAATGGGGTGATGTTGAGAGATTTGGATAAAATGGCTAGCAGGGTGTAGCCAGGTAATAGCCTAGACTGTCATGACATAAGAATGGCAGGAGGCTTTCTGAAAGTCTAGGAGAAAACATGGGAACAGCCATGGATCTGGGTAGCAACTGGGTCAGCTGACCATAACTATAGGTTTTCATTACCCAAGAGCTCTGCCTTGGGCTTCCCAGGAGAGCCAAGATGAGCTTAGGAGTCAGCAGGCTCTGGGGGTTCCAAGTGTCTTCTGACAGCTGGGGGCCTGCCCAACCTCCCCTACAAAGAAAGACCCTCAAGTCAGCAACATGAGGCACCCAAGAGACCAGGCCCTGGGATCACATCCCCTGACTTTAAAATCCTTGCCCTGCCCCTTCCTGTTGGCTGGTAAACTGGGCACAGTTAGTACCCAAGTGAGTCTTTCCATCAACTAGTGAGACTGGCTAGGTCACCCTTTCAATAACAGGTGACGTTTATTCTTACTTAAAGTGCCACCTCCTCAGGGAGTTCACCTAACACCAGCTGACGCGAGACTTGCCCCTTACGTGTTAATTATGCTTGGGAGAGCGGCAAGGCCGCAGGAAGGCAACCCAGGGGCAACTAGAAAGTGGCCAGAGGAGACAACGGCTCTGGCCTTTCGCTCAGAGCCACAATGATTCTCCGACATGGGAAAGCACTCCATTGTGCCAGCCAGCCAACCCTTGGCCGCTCTGGATGGGTAATCGAATTGCAGAATCTCTACCCCAGGCCCTGGCCCTGGGTCCTGGAGGGGCGCCCCTCACTCCCTCCATCAGCCGGACTCTGCTGCCACACTAATTCTTCATTCTAGAACCTGACACAGAACAAATACCAAACTCTGGGTATGTGGGGAACGTCCCCACTTAGTGGTTGGTGGGAGGTGTCAATGCCGATATTGGGTGTGGATGGCCAAGCACGGTCACTCCTCTTCCCCACTTTCTCCAGAGCACTGCACAGTTGCTTCCTCCCACCCACGGGCAACTCAGCCAAGTTGGTCATTTACGGTTCCACTATCCCCTCCAGACTGGGAAGGGGAGAGGAGCAAAGGGCTTCCCGGAAGCTTCGGGGCAAAGGGGCTCTGTTATCAGCAGCACCCATTATCCTGGCGTGGGGAGACAGCCCTGGCACTCCGGCTTTGAGCCTGCCCACGGCCACTCTGGCACCCGGCACTGACCTGTGAGGCCCGCAGCCTCGGCGGACAGGAAGGCACTCCAGGACAGGAGGAAGAAGAGGCCCGTCTCCAGCATGGGGAAGTCGCAGAGTTTGGTGAACTTGGTCAGGTGGGGGAGATGCATTAAGGAAAACAGTTCAGATCCCCACAGCTCCATTGCCCTCCGGGCACCATCTGCTCACTAGGAAGGAAAGGGACCCTTCGAGCTGCCTCCGAGCTGCCCAGGGAGGCTGGGACCCTGTTCAGAGGCAGCTAAAGTCGCCAGTCTGCCTTCTATTGAGGCAAGGGTCTCAGTTAATGTCACCCAACGGGGCCTAGGAGTGGCTCATGCCTGGGTTCCCTTCATGGTACTGCCTAAAGAAGGACATCGACAAACTGTGGGTTCAACAATCACTTGCCTTTGGCATCAGCCTTCAGGGATGCCCCTCAGAAAAGCCAAAGCAAGGCCAATGTGGTCGCAGCGGGGTCCTTCAGAAGTGAGAGCCTCCTTGCAAGGGGCTGGAGAAGGGATTAGGAAGTGCTCCGGTTCTGGGCAGGAGTCATAATTCAGTGTGACCTCTTCTGATTAACTTTATCAAGGAATTAGCATCCTCCAGGATTTTCCTTGAAGACATTTTGCCCTTCAATATTCTCTTCTGCTTTCTCTCACAATGAACCACCCAGTCCTGGGGTCCCAGAGACTCTCGCTTCCTCCCTCCTGGTATTTCCCCCACAATTCCTCATCACTGGTGTTCCAGGATTCGAACCCTCTCCCGAATCATCCCACAGGGGCAGCTCTTTGCTGAGGTTATGAAATAGGATTCCCGGTGTGTCTGTCTCTTTCCAGAAGAGAATCCCTCAAGCTCATGAGGGCCTAAAGAAAGCAGTGCAGATTTTGCTCCACGCTGAATCCATCTTACCTGTGTCTCCTCGTCTGCCACGGCTCACCAGCCCACGTCCTCTGATTGTCGTGGCATCCTGTGTCATGCCAACCCCACCCCACACCTTAATGAATGCTGGTCTTGTTCTATGGCCAACTCAGTGCTCATTCTGTGCTGCGTCCTCTCAATCTGTCCCGCCCAAGCCACAACCGGCTCTGCCTTTTAGAAAGCTGCTTTTCAAATCTATTTCCAGAACTACGGTGCCCGCCATGAGTCTCTTGGACTGTCCAGACATGCAGCTTTGTCCTCCTTTGAAACGTTCGTTCTAATAAGTTGGCTGCGGCTCTGGCACATGTTCTTCACCCAACTCTTACTGTGGAGCTGGTCTTTCCGAGACTGTCACTGCTTGAAGGCCGGGCCCATGTTTTGTTCATCTTCTGACTCTTCTTAGAAACGCTTAACGGAAACTTTTAGCAGCTGTTCCATCTCTGAGCATGGAAGAAAAGACCCAAACATTTTTCTTTCCTTGCTCGGGGCCCTGATGCTCTTCCACACATCTTCATCTTATCTTCGCCAAGATTTCTGGCTCTTGACCTTTTCCTCAGCCTCTTCGCTGAGGCCTCTAATACCTCACACATGACTTCAGCCTCTGGCCTCCTCCTCAGTCCTAACTCGGCTGCATCCACCTGCTCCCAGTGGGCATTCCCAGGAGGGTTCCCTTCCCTGACTTTAGGGCCCCCTTTGCTTCTCCTACGGCAAAGCAGAGATATGGAAAAGATACTCTTTCTGCAGTTTTCTGATCCAGTAGCCCAGACACCTACAGACGCTTGTTGAGATTCACAGTAACCTGTGACTTTGTCCAGGGCTAGTAATCGACACAGGCTTACACCTGGGACAAAGAATACCTTGCTTTACTCTCTAGTTAAGCCTATTTCATTCTTGTCTTTTTTGTGTGCTTGCTTATTTGTTTGGAGGCCACACCCAGTGATACTCTGGGCTGACTCCTGGCTGTGTGCTCAGGAACCACTCCTGGCGGTGTTTAGGGAACCAGTTGTGGTGATGGGGATCACTCCTAGGTCAGTAGCAAGTAAAGTGTCTTCCCTATGATTCAGCTTCCAGTCCTGACTGTTTCATTCTTGATTTTTGAATCTTCATCTCCTTCTCGACCCTATGATAGCATGTCCAGATACCCCAATGACCTATTTTCTTTGGTGACATTTTTCTAAAATACGGTGGATAACCGAGAATCAGAAAATGCCAGCAAGGCAGGGCCAAAGCGATAAAAAAAAGTGCATAGAATGTTTACTTTGCATATTGCCGACCTTGGTTTGATCCCCAGCATCCCATATGGTCCCTCAAGTACTGCCAGAAGTGATTCCTGAGTGTAGAGCCAAGAGTAATGCCTGAGCATCGCCAGGAGTGACCCAAAAAGCCCTAAACCTCCCTCTCCCCGAAAAAAAAAAAAAAGAAAATTGAAGCAATGCTAGAAATGATTTTGGAGAAGAAACTGGGTCTCTCTGCCACCAGTGCCTACCTAGGCCTCCAGTTGACCGAGAACCAAGAGGATCCAAGAAGCATCCTGCTTTCCCTTAAACCAGAGGCTATGAAGCCATTTCCTGTTGATGATTCATCCTCAGCAACCTCTGGTGACACTGGGGATTCTTGACAACTCCCCCAAGTTGTACCTGTGTGCAAAGGATATCAACGCTGTGACCACTGCGTATGCCGATCCCATTGCAAAGGACCCTGCGAAGATACCCAGGAAATTCCCCACTGACTGGAAGAATGCGGCGGCGTCAAATGCATTTGGATTCTCCTTGGGACTGTAAATGGAGATAGAGCTGAAAGAGAAGAGAAGGAAGGTTTTATCAGTGTCTTCCAGCAGCTCTCAGGACCCAAGTACCAAGCCAGAATTAGCATCTGTTTGGGGGAGGAAGAAAATTTCTCCCCTAAGGGCAGGGCCTGACTGGAAAAGTTCTGGGGGGCCCAGGGAGACAGGGAGAGGTAGAGAAAGCTTCTCCCTTCCCTTACAGTCCAATCCCATGGCACCCATATATTTACGCCCATCAGTAAACATTTTTATATTGGAAGGGTCATAAAGAATATTGTTTCTGAGCAAACTAGGCATTAAAACATGGTAGGTGTGTGAGAGATCTGCTGAGGAGATAGATAACTGTGAATTATTTAGTGGCCATATGTCTTTGGTGTCGTTATATATTCACAAATGTTCCTGATAAAAAGTGCACTTTATGGCCTATGTATAAATGGGCAGTACAAATCACAGCCGGCCCCGAATCCTGGGCTGCGATCTTGTCATAAACCACAAAGCCTGCTCCTCGATAGTGTCTCCCTTTGGAAACAGCCCTGCACACAGTTGGCTGTGGCACAAGACTAACCCCCGGGGAGAGACCAAGCCCCCATTTCCCCACTAGGCTGATGGCAGCAGCTGCCCAGCAATCCGTCATCCGCCGCCACCCCCCCCCCCCCAGCCTGGTGGCAGCCAACAGCTTCCTCTACTGAGAGGAGAATCAACCCACCACCAGGCAATCAGGTCACTTAAAGATCTCAGCAGATGTAGTATTTGCTGCTTGTTCTTTTTTTCTCCCTCTGTCATCAGGGCCTCAAATCCTGGCTTGTTGAGGTAAGGCCTGCAATTTTGTCTTGTAGGAAATGTGAAGGAATTCCAGGAACAGAAGTGTGAGAAGCAGCAGCCCCAAGAAAGACCCACGCAGTCACATAGCAGGGGTGGGTGTTCCCGGCTGCTTCCTTAGCAGTGTTTATTCATGTGAGAGCTCTTAAAAACAGAGCAGCTTGGTGGGTTCTGGAAGAGATCAGAGTCACGGACACAGTGACTTGAGGTTGGGTTAGACTGGGCAGAGATGTCACTGAGTCTTTTCTAGTTCTCTGAGTAGGGCCCGTTAACGCTCTGACCTGACTCTCCGTACCCAAGGACCAGTTAAGAGTGAGCAGGGGGTGTGGATTCCATTTCTCCTCCAGGAAGTTGTGTGACACAGAAAAGCAGAGTTTGAAATGTGCTCCGTTTCCCCCTGGATGTCTTTAGACCCCTAAAGTAGGCCAATGCTTCTGCTTTGATCATGTAATTGGATAAGGAAGATGCACGGGAGTCTCCATTGGAGCCCTAAATGTATGCGTGTCAAGGACTGCTTTTGAAGTGTTTTGCTGTTGATAAAGTGTGCTCTGCAGAAAAAAAGGAGAAGCAAGCCCAGATTTGGGTCTTTGGTAGCTGACAGTCCTGAGAGAGTGTCTCATACCTCCAACTACTGTGACAATGAGTGCCCACAGCTGCCAAGCTGCATGGCGGTAGGAGCTGCTGTGCCCAGCCTATTCCTTCATGCCCACAGAGAAATAATAGGGATGAGAGATGCTACTTTTGCATTCTGCTTTTCCAACAAACTAAATTTTCAGCACAGTGGCACTGCTCTGTGAATAGTTCTGTGGATTCCTAATTCTATTTACAGGACATCTCACCCATACACCAGGACCCTCTTTGCCTCACCTCCACCTGTGTGGCGGCAGTCACCAAAGCACAAATACTGTGTGATTCTATTCAAATATGGCACCTAGAGTGGTTTTAAATTCATAGAGATAGAAGAATGGGGAGCTAATGTTTTTAAATAGGTTTATAAATGAGATCTCTCTCACATCTGGGAGAATGATGCATATCAAAAAGTTTGGAAATAGTGAGTTTTTGTGGGGTTATGGTGAGAAAGTGGATGTGTCCCATTCACTATTAGTGAGAATGTTGTCTGGTTTAGCCTCTATGCCAAGCAATATGGTGGTTCTTCAAAGAACAGGGATAGAATTCCCCTATGACCTGACTATACCACTGCTTACCATCTGGTAACACACAAAACACACAAACATTAATCCTAAAGGATATATATATATATATATATATATCTTCATCACTGCACTTAGTATAGTAGCAAAGATACAAAATAACCCAAATGCCTAGCTATGGATAAGTGGATCCAGTTGTAGTTTATATACAATGTAATGCTATGCAACGCTGACAAAGAACAAAATCCTGCAATTTACAGCAACATTTTATGGAACTAGAGACTATTCTGCTGAGTGAAGTTAGAGGGAAAGGGACAGACACACAATGATTATCTCTCATATATGGGACTCAAAGGCACAAGGCAAGGTAGCAACAATGATCCAAAGATAACACAATGGGAGAACTGACCTGCACAATTAATTTGGAGAGTGGAGGGTGCAGAGGGAGAGGTCTCGGGGTCTTTGGGGGAAGAAGATGGGTACACTGCTGATGGGTGTGTCTCACCTCCACCTGTGTGGCGGCAGTCACCAAAGCACAAATACTGTGTGATTCTATTCAAATATGGCACCTAGAGTGGTTTTAAATTCATAGAGATAGAAGAATGGGGAGCTAATGTTTTTAAATAGGTTTATAAATGAGATCTCTCTCACACCTGTGAGAAAGATGGGACTATGTGCATGAGAAACAATTATTAATAATATTGTATTAATTATCAATAATTAATTAATTATTAATTATAAATTATAAAATATTTTATAAATTTATAAATTTATAAAATTTATAAATTATAAAATTAATTATAAAAATAAAAATTGTTTCGATTCCTCCGCCCCTCTCGGAGAGCCCGGCAAGCTACTGAGAGTATTCGATATGCCAGACACAGTAACAACAAAGTCTCCAATGGAGACGTTACTGGGCCCGCTCGAGCAAATACAATATTAATAGTAATACAATAAAAATTAATAATATTGTAAACTACAAGATTATCACAACAAGCTCCCGGGAGAGCACAAGGCAGAATCTCCTACCCTGTGTCTGACTATCCTCGCCAGGGCCCAACAGCTGAAGACCTCCAGGCCCCAACCAAGGCCTTACTGGGGCCACTCTCCACACACTTGGATAAACCTCAGACATAACAGAACTGGCAGAGGAACCCAGGTGTGTGGGACCCGGGGCTGAGATCTCCAAGCCTGCACGGTTTGGGACTGGACCTGTCAGTAGCTAGACAGTTACACCCTCCAACTGCCGTGTAACCCCAACAACGGCCAGGATCCAGAGATTATCACAACAAGCTCCCGGGAGCGCACGGCCGCATTCGCGGCCGCTCGACTATTTATTTACTTTTCTCTAAGTTTTCAGGGTAACTTAAATATCCAACCCGCACGACAGAGCCTGGCAAGCTATCCGTGGTCTATGCCAAATAGACCAAATTGATATGCCAAATCCAGTAATAAATGGATCTCATTTTCCTAACCCTGAATATGCAGAGTCGAGAAGGATATGGAAGGAGAGGCTGATAAAACACCAAGGCAGACATAGGCTCCCAAAACACAGAAAAACAAAAATGATTGTCTGTACTTTTAATGCTCGTACGCTGGCATCTACTGCATCCATTGAAGACCTTATGGTACAAGCGCGAAAGATCAAGTACGACATCATTGGTCTGACCGAAACGAGAAGACATCAATCCCATCATGCTGTTTTCGACACTGGAGAAGAATTGTTCCTTGGAACATGTGATAAAAGAGGCGTCGGTGGTGTTGGTATCCTTGTCAACACAAACTTAGTCACGAGCATTGATTCATTCGAATGCCTAACAACCCGAATCGGACAATTACACTTGAATAAATGTGGCTCACTACCGGCAGTTTCTATCTTTGTTGTCTATGCACCAACATCCAGTTATGGTGAAAGAGAAACTGAGAAATTCTACATGGAGCTGGAAAAGTTCTATAAAGAAGATCACACCTTCTACAAGATCATTGTCGGTGATTTTAATGCCAAGATAGGACCAAGAAGATCAGTCGATGAACTCCACATCGGAACCCATGGCCTGGAATGGAACAAACAGCGTGACAGACTGTCTGAGTTCATCATGTCAACCAAAACCTTCCATGGTAACTCACAATTCCAAAAGGCTGAATCTAAACGTTGGACATGGGAGTCTCCCGATGGACGGTTCCACAGTGAAATAGACCACATCATATTCAATCGGCGGTTTTGCCTAACCGATGTTGCTGTTGTCCCAAAATTCCAAACAGGATCAGACCACCGTCTTCTTCGTGCAAAATTCTACCTCACAGAATGAGGAGAAAAGAATGCAAGGTTTAAGAAGAGGACTCCCAGAACAACCACCAACTGGGAGCTCTTTGGCTCTATTGCGGCAACATGGGAAGATGCCGTCATTGACAACATTGATGAGGAATACGATCGAATGATTCAGCACCTCCATGATTGTGCAAGGAATGCCAAGAGAGAGATAACCACCAAAAACCGTCTTTCTTCGAACACTCTTGAACTTATTCGCCAACGTGGCTTGGCACATGCCTCAGGCAACCACAAGCGAACATCCGAACTGGCAAAACAGTGCAGAGAAGCCATCAAGGATGACCTCAAAAACAGGAGAGCAGCAGTACTGGTAGATGCAGCAGAAGCTGGGAAAAACATTCGTAATGCCCGCCTGTCCTTCACCAACTACAAAACCAAGATGACTGCCCTCCGACATCATGATGGATCTATCACATCTTCCAGAAGGGCAATGGAGAAGATTATTCATGACGTCTACTCAGATCACTTTAATAGCCACATCCACTTGCCCACATACCACATACCACATGACGGATATGTCGTTCCCAATGTTCTCCCTTCCGAAATCCAACATGCCATCTCGTCGGTAAAGAAACAAAGAGCACCTGGCCCAGACAAGATCAGACCTGAACACCTGAAGAACTTACCATCAGTACTCATCAATACATTGGCTCGACTCTTCACACGCTACCTGTCTGAATGCAAGGTTCCATCCCAATGGAAAACCAGCAG